TTCAGGTGTTTAATAGTCTTCTGGCCTGTGGGATGAAACTGTCTCTGAGTCTGGTGGTTTAAGTCCTGATGCTGCGGTAGCGCCTGCCAGACGGCAGCAGACAGAACAGTTTGTGGCTGGGGTGATGGGGGTCTTTTATAATCCTGAGGGCTTTCTTCCTGAGCCGCTGGGATTAACCTGTTAAGCACTGAGCCTGTTTTTCAGGTTTCAGGCTCGAAAATGACATTCCCAGAACAAATGACCATAACTACAATTCTACAAGGGGTAAATTAATAATCTTTTTTCTCAAAGTAATGATAAACCTGTGAGTTGGATGTAGAAGAGTCAGAATCAATATAGATGTTTTTTATTTTAAAGAAAATTCAGATTGAACATAGTAAAAAACTGTAAATTATAGTGTCCTTCCAAATATTCTTTTTTACTTATAGTGAAAACTACCCTTGGATGATGGTATGGTAGACTAAAATATTTAGGATTCCAAAGTACTACATATAATAAGTACCCTGTATCAAGATTGATGCAAAACAAGTGACATTTTACATTTTTAGAGAGGTTTAGCAAAAAAAACTCCACCTCTGAGGTGATTTGGGTGGAAATGGGCGTTTTTACCGTTTCTCTGTGAACCCATTGGTTGATGTTGGTGATTGACATCTCTTTTTAACCGTTAGAGCCAATAGAATCGAAGGGGAATTTCCACATAGACACACACGTTAACAAAAAAAAGTGGGGGCTTTGCGCATGCAGTTTTGCATGAGAGCGAACCTATCGGAAAAGCAGGTTTATTGTTTATGGATTATCAGAAATCATTTCAAAGGGACACAGACACATTGGATTAACCTATGGATTAACCTTCAGCAGCGTTTTTATCATTTTAATGCCATTGAAGACCACTTTTGACCAGACAACAACCAAGGTAAGCCATTTTGCCGTTTTTAGCTACCTAGCGCCACATGTTTTGAATCAAAACATGAACAGACAAGAACAGACAGACAAGAACAGACATCAAAACTTTTGATGTCTGTTCTTGTTAATATCTTTGTGAGTTCTTGAGTGATGATGTATGTACCTATCGATTCTGTGTCATCTCACGATGCTAGTCGATATGTTGGATGTGCAGTTAAGATAAGAAATAAGGGTGTTATGAGTGAGTTTCTGTTCAGTAATGCGTTTGCGGCTAATTCAGAGGCTGAGCGTTAGCATTGTGGGGTTTTTTGGAGAAAAAAAAGATCAGTTAGCTGAGTTTCTTCCCGTTACATGGATAGTTTATTAAATATTAAGATGCCCTCAGACGCTGTTTCCTGCAGATGACGCGTTTTTCCCCCTGGTACCGGGGGGGCGGTGTAGAACAGGTTAAAGATCCTCCATGGATGGCAGCTCTGCCCTGGTTCAATACTATTCATTTTGTAAACTAATGTCCTATTTCGAGAATACACAGAAAAGCAAGGTATGCTTTCGGGCAGCGGTTCCCAACCTTTTTCAACTCAGGGCCCACTTAAGAATCTAAAAAATGGTTGAAGCCTACATTCAAACATAAACATTACAGATGCTAAATAAAGTTCTGATTGGTCAATTCAGAACATGTGACAAGTTGTTAATCCAGTAGTAGGCCGCTGTCAAGGACTGTAATGACCATTGCTAAGTAGGATCAAGAAAGAGAAAGGAAAGGAGGTTCAAATATAATGTGTTGCAAATTATTTGGCAGCCCACTTGCAATGCCTTCACATCCTCCTAGGGGGCCGTGGCCCACAGGTTGGAAACCTTTGCTTTATGGCATGGTTAGCTGTGATTGACAGGGCTACCACAGTGTAGTAATTATCCTAAATAACGCAAAACATCACTATGTTTTCTGTTCATGGAAGTTAATATTTCTATTTTGATTGCCAAAAATTGCCTTTAAGACTTTGGTTGTAAGTACAATCAAACTTCTGGATCCCATAAATTTGGCAACGACCAAAAACCATAGTCCACAAACCAATGGGTCACTGTGACTATATGTCCACTTCTTAAATATTCTATGAGACATAGGATCACGTTCTACAGAGTGAGTAAAAACAATTGATATCATTCTCGTGCAGCAGATATGAAGCTACAGCTAGCAGGCAGTGTAGTGGCAATTTCTTATATTACTTTATATGGTAAAACCAAATGCAACGCTTATATGATGAAAAGTGTAAAGTTGTCATTGCTCGACTTGTTGTTCACCCAGATGCTTCCTGCCAAGGTCACACACTTGAACAATACAGTTATTGTTCCTAAAAAGAGCATTGCAAGATGACAGTCAGCAAAAAGTGTTATCTCTCTTTGTCTGCACAGCAACAGTTACAGCAGAACCGCCAAGGTCCTCTATAAAACACACACACTGGACTTCAACACAATACAGCGGTTAGTCTGGCTCTTTCCAAAGGTTCTATGGGGGTAATGTCCTGGTATATATCTTGGTGCAGGATTAGGAAGTTGTTAACGTTGTGTCTCCATTGTGCAGTAAGCAGCAGCAATTCTTCGAAAACCACTGATATTTTTACACTTCAGATTTTCGTAAAAAAGAGAGATATGACTAAGCATTGAGAGATTTTTCACCCTGTTTCCCGTCTGTATGCTAACTAAACTGGCTGCTAGCTGTAGCTTCACTGTGCAGACATGAGAGTAGTATGAAGTCCTGGACAACAACCAAGGCAGCAGGTGGTTGGTCACGTTCTGGTCACACTGAGAGTGAAACACTTCCTGAGGCCCTGATGATCTCTGTAAAGCTGCCAGCAGAGTGACGGGTGTGGAGAGGACAGGTAATCCAGGGCTAACTGGCTCCATGTCAACTAAATAGGATTGAAAGGGCTAGTCAAACCCCCTCTCTGAGCCGTGCACAGGTCAGCGTTCAAGCCAAAAGAGGAATATGAATAACTCTTAAGTAACTCTGAAGGTATTAAAGGGCACAGGCAGTACGGTTCCTTAATGACCTACTATTCCAGATCTGAACTTCCTCTTCCATATCGTATTTTAGGTGCCATCTAATCATCTTTAAAAAGTATTGATTTTAAACTATAAGAAGTGCAAGTATTTCATGCTAATTCCTCTCAAGCATCTGACGAAATAAATTGTCATGTTTCCCCACAAATGGCTGCATGTGGTGCTTTTGCATTTAGTGGGGGGAAAAATCATTTCTCAACTTAGTGGGGAATCAATGTTTTCAATTGCAAATGAGGGTTTCCATTATGGGACTCTCAATCAAAACAATAACAAAATATCTTCACGGCAGTAATTGTCTTCACCACCATGGCCATGCTGCAGTCAGCTTTTTCTAGTTAGGGCTCCTTTAGTTTTCATCCTTCAGATTAATTTTTATACCAGGTGCTGAATATCTACTCTGCAAATTGTACCCGCTAAATGAAACTGCTAAAAACACTGATTAAACCAACTATTTTCAAGTCCTTGCCTATTGTGATCCCTAAATCAATTTTTAAATTACAGGACAAAATAATATCAAAATTCCTGAGGCACAATAAAAAACTGAGAATTAAATATAAGACACTTCTATGTACAAAAGAGATTGGAGGGTTGAATCTACCTAATTAAAAAAATTACTATTGAGCAGCACAAATTAGAGCAATAATCATGTGGATAACTGAAGACACAGAAACTATTTGGGTTGATATGGAACAAAAATCATGTAATAATCTACCTGTGGGAGCGCTTCCATTTTTGACAGAAAGGGCACAGAAGGGGTTGGGGACTTGCAATCTGTGGATCAGGGCTGCGATGAAGATATGGTCAGAGGTACGAAAGGAATTAAAACTGTCAAACTCTATTAGCAGGGCCACTAAAATAGCTACAAACCCAGACTTTTTACCATCTATTATGGACTCAGGATTTAAAACATGGGAAAATAAGGGGTTAATATATATTACACAACTATTTACTGGACAAATCATTAAATCATTTGAACAACTGAAACAGGAATTGAACCTACCATCCTGTGACTTTCGCAACATTCGCAAATCCCCATCTAAGCTAGAGGACCTGTTAATGACATATACAAGGTACTACATTATGAATGTAACAGCAACAATAAGGATGTCAACGAAAAATGGGAGTTAGAAGCGAATATTATAATATGCGACGAGGATTGGGAAGAAACATTTGAATGTTTCTTCCCAATCCTCGTCGCATATTATAATATTCGCTTCTAACTCCCATTTTTCGTTGACATCCTTATTGTTGCTGTTACATTCATAATGTAGTACNTCTCGCCAGGGTTTTATTGGAAAGGGGGACTTTTTACTTTATGACGCTGCGCTGTCAAGTACGCTTCTCCATGTTTGTGATTGGTCGAATGCTCCAAATACCACCCCTTTCATGTGAACGCGCACCTAACTAGATAGGACACGGCTGGCTTGAGCGATCCACTTGATAACCAGTGTCGTAGTACAGTTTAGCGAGAGCGCGTATGTTTTGGATTAGGCCAACCGGCTAACTCAAACATATCCAGGTTAGGAAGATCCAGCTTCGTAGTACAGGCCTCAGATATCCTACTTTAACAGCCTGCGAGCCTACATTATGTTGTGTTAAGTGTTTATTTTACATAATGTGTTTCGTTGTAGTAGCTAGGTATAATCATCACCGACAGATGGAAAGACAACAATAAAAAGGAATTCATATTAATGTTACCAAGTTACACATAAAATAGATACAAAAAATATAAGAACAAAGATAAAAGCATAAAGATTAAGATAGAAACAAAAACATGTTAACAGCAGTGTAAAAATTATGAATATATGTGTTTGTAGTTCTCAACGTGAGTATCCTCGTAATTCTTTTTTTGTCGCTGTATCGATGCATAACGAAAGTTAACCAAGTAAACAGTCACATCTTATCTGGACAAGTGCTGCAAAGGGATACACGTGTGTAGTCTTTCATATTAAACATGATTGCTGGTAGATAGCCACAGAAGTTGTATCACAGTTTAACAGTTAATTAAAAAAAACAGTTAATCTCGCACACCGGTACCTATGGACGGTACGAGTGTATTACACACAGCCTTCCCTGTGTTTACCTTCACTAGACAGCTAAAGAGCGACTGCAGGCTGCTTCGTTATAGCCACACGCACGCACGCACGCACGCACGCACGCACGCACGCACCTCTACACACATCGAACTGCCCGACTATTAGGCCGTGTGTGTGTGTGAGTGAGAGAGACTGTGAGACTGTGACACTGGCATTTGTTTTCAGAAAATTGTTGTCCGTTCTGGTACTGCGGTCAACTCAGCCGTCTCTGTATATATACTTTGTGTTTACACTGTGCAGATGTAGAATGATGAGTTCATATGCAAATTCAAACCACCCTTTTAACCCCGTCCCTCTCTGCAGCGGTCACCTGTCCCCCCACCATGCAGTACGGGACCTGTGTGTCGTCCTGCCAGCGCCGCTGCTCCGCCCTCTCCATCCCGCAGCACTGTGGGGAGGAGTGTGAGGAGGGCTGCGTCTGCCCCCAGGAAACCTTCCACAACCATCGAACACACACCTGTGTGCACAGGTAAGAACGGCCGAGGTGGTGGGGGTATAAATTAAGAAAAAAAACAACCCTTTTCTAACTGCTGATCAAACAAACAAGCAGAGAAAGCGAGATGCAATGTGTATCACTGTAAGAGGTTCTGTTTTATTACACTTAATATTTATTTTATTTGAATTTAGGCAGGAGGGAATGAGTGACCATGTGTCCTTGTTGTGAATCGGGCCAGCTCTGCCTGTTGTGAAAGGTTTTAAAGCCTGGAGTCACTCCACCAAACAAATCCTCTCAAAGTGATATTTGTATCTGCTCTGAAGTTTAGGTCAGCCTTTAAGCGGAGAGCCTTGTATCGCTCCTGCAGACGCTACAGAGCCAGAGGACCTCGGTAATTGTGCTCTCCGTTTCAGCCTGCTCTGCCCTAAAAGACATGCAGCTGAATTCCTCTTAAATGTCCCAGGTTTTTACATCCTAGTGCAGCGCGGTGACTTACTTACCATGTGATAGAGTTACATCAAGGAATTCACCGTGAAACCCCCCTTTTATTCCCGCTCGGGCTGGGGACGACACAGATATCTGATAACCAGTGAGAAAGAATTTGTAGTACAGAGGCCAATGTGTGGCACTGGCCTATATGTTACAGGGCTTTCAGCCTCTGCTAAGAACCGTTTACTTCAACGTAGATCATTATTTTACATTTTTACAATGAAAAATCGCCCCAAACAGGTGAAGTTTTTTAGAGTAAGTATGTTGTGGATTTGACACCTTACGGACTAATTTCCCCTCCTAAAGCCTGCTAATCTGTCCCCTATCCACTTACCTGTAATACTCTGTTTAAGGTAACACAAAGCCCTCTTTAACATTACTCTTTACACAATAATTAACAAACTGAGCAGTGTCTGGTTTACATCCCCAAAGCCTGGTGTGTCATTATGGCTTCAGGGGTCTTCGAAGGTCTTTCGGACATCCGATTTAAAGCCTTTTGCTTATGCTGAGATGTACAATGCAATGGTGCACAACAAACAATCTCTCTATCTGTTTTTCTCTCTCAGTCACATGTATGCATCAGTAATTATTCATCGGTCAACTGTTTCTGTGTGCTTAATTTTTGTTATTTTACAAATTATTACTATTCTGAATCGTCAACAAGGACATCTTTTGTTGTGTTATTTCCTTATAACAGACTGTGTCTATAAATGCAGTTTGATTTTAGAAAACAAAACAAAAGCACTATTTGTTTAAGTGGTAGCACATTTTTTTTTTTTTAAATCAATCTTTTACAGATAATATTTTTTTCTTTGGTTGGGATTTATTTCCCAATATTGACCAGCTCGCTGTACTATATGCCTTATATATATATATATATATGAGCGTGTTTCTTTACAGGAGCGAGTGTCCCTGCAGTTTCCTTGGAGCAGATTACGAGCCGGGTGATGTGATCATGACATCAGCAGGTGTTCAGTAAGATCCTCTCCTCCATCTTCTCCATCTAAAGTTCTGCCTTCTGTCAGTCACAGTGCTGCTTCCTTTTTAAACTGGAGGAACTTATATCTTAATGTTTAATGTGAACAAGTAACAGAATAAAGCCTACTAGTTGTAGAGATAAAGTATAAGTAAGAACAAAGCTGAAAAAACCATAAAGTCATGTTTATGAATTTGTTAACCTACTTCTTTGCTAGTTTTTGTATTTACCTTCATCATGTATCATCATAACCACCATCCTTTTCTCTCCATGTTTCCTTACAGACTCTGCCTGAATGGCAAACTGGTGTCCCAAACAACAAACAGTGGTAAGTAACTTTTGTTTCTTTAGCTAAGTTGATATGAAGGGATGCTTGTGTTTTGCTTAATATCACATTATGTGTCACATTGAAGTATGTAATTTAATGGTTATTATAAAAGTTGGAGGACACTACCACACTTCTAGCAGATCGTACTCTGTAATTGAAAGGGATCATTCATAAAAAGCAAATAAAGCACATACAATTATGAGACACTTGACGAAACACGAACCATGGGATGAAAGAGGATGGATGGAGCTTTGTAGAGAATAAAACTGAAGCTACTGGATCCTATGCATTTTTCCATCTTCCTGCAGAGTCTTTCTCACCTGTGATTTATTTTTCTCATCTTATAGACATGTTGTGTCCAGCTGGTCAGCTCTACCAGAACTGCTCGGAGGGGGGGGACGGCCTCCTGACGGGAAGGGGCGTGGCCTGCGAGCGCACCTGCGAATCCTACCTGCTCAACCTAACCTGCTCCACACACGAGCCCTGTGTGGCCGGGTGTACCTGCCCCCATGGGTGAGGGAAGTTATTTAGTCCCGTTATAATTTGTGCTGGCAAATCATTACAGACTTCTCGAATCACACTATAAAATGAACGATAGATTATTTTTGAAACTTGTCCAGTGCTACTTAGAAAAAAACCCCCACATGTATAACTTTTATTTGTATAGTGCTGTGTTGACCAGACCTACTGCTGTCCCTACTGGTCCCACAACTCAGTTACACATCAAATATGGCGATCATTGAGTGTGTGAGAAGTGTGCAGCAGTTCCACAATCACATTTTGGACCATAATAAGTGCACCAGCGAGGTGCTTATAGTGCTTCGCATTAAGCCATACTTGCCATTAGGATGCAATTATGCACACAAATTAGCACAAGTAAGTACAGAAGTACGCACATTGAGAAACAGCCTAAATGTCTTGCTGTCTGTTTGGTATGGAAAAAGAGTGTGACCCTCTTTCTTGATAAATAAAGTTTAAGAAATTAGTGTGGAGGTTTGGTAGAATCTTAAGCTCTGAGTGTGCAGGGCTGTGTTTCTTTATTCAGTCATAGTGTTGTTTTACTGCTGGCAGCCTCATTTTATGAGTCTTAGGTCATCTGTGGGAGTCAAAAATACTTATAAGCGTCCGATGAGGTGAACAGACATTATGGAGTGGAATACAGTAATCTGATCCCTGTAATTCCCCTCCTATTGTCGGCCTGAAAGGAAGGTTAAGTGGTTTCATTCTGTGACATCAACCAAGAGTCATGATGATAACAATATGCACTGGTAAGGCTTTGCAAAACATATCCACGCGTATGGCGCTTTGGTGAAGATTATACAGCTGGTAAGGTATCTGACAACAGCGGACCTCATAAAGTATTGCACAGAGAATGGTCATTTTAAATATCATTCACCAAAAACTTTGGAAGAAACACCAGTAGTATTTAAGTGGTTAAAATGTAATATTTAACTAAGAACACTAAATTGAAAATTCAAAGGCAAGAATGGTAAGAAACACACAGTTAAACATGGATATTTTGAGCTACAAAAATAATAATTGGGATTTTACTATCTTGAGATCCCATAAATAATCAATGATTCAGGTCAGGGGTGAGTTTAACTGCTATATTTGTAGCAGGTAAAAACTGGGTGGTTAGTCAAAAATCCCCTAGAGTGAAACATTACCTTTTTAGAATCACAATTTCAGCGAAGGCCAGTTGAGCAACATACATACACTGATTTTGTTGATAGCTATACCTCCCCTTTTCCCAAGTCTATCTCGGTCTATGAATGGAATCACTTGTGTGATTATGCAGTGGGCATTTTAAAACACAAAGAAAAGGTTAGCCAGCTACAGTCATTTTGATCCTGCGTCAAACTCCTCTGACTCGCCACGGTCATTCATTTATTCCTACTCACCTTTGAGAAAGATTACCTCTGTGTTAATTTTGCCAGTCTTTGTACAGGTGATTCATAAAGTCCACCAACCTATGAGTTTGTGTGCTAACTGTTAAGCTGAATACAGACACAAAGAGATCTCTTTCAGCTCCAGGTGACGGCTGGATTTATAAGGGCAATGATAGTTTGAAGGTTCAGTCATGACTCTGATTTTAAATACTTGTTTTTCAGATTGAGAATAATCGAGTTGTTTTAACAGTGACACACTTTTAGCTTTTGGCTTGAATTGATGGTGGTGATTGTATTAATGAAACTAAATAAAGTTGATTAATGATTAATTTTGGAACCCATACAAAGTGAAATCATAGTCAGACAGACAACTGTTACGCAGTGATGTCACTGTGTTACTGGAGTATGCAAAAGGGATGTGCGTGAGAGAAACTTTGGGATTTTAGTCTTTGCAAACCATTTACCGGTACATGCACAAAAACCTATATTACACACTACAGGAAAGGGAAAACCCCAAAAGCATAATGGGGCCCCTTTAACACACTCAGCTAACTTCAAAGTGAAAAAGATGAAGTGGCAGATGATGCTTTTATGGATGTATTCAGAAAGCTACTTTTCTTGGGAATCAACCTGTATTCTGTAATTAACGTAATTAAAACTTAGATGCCCCTTTTTTTCTCATTTATGATGGCGGATATGAGCGAAAGACTTCAACTGGCTGGCTTTGGTTTCCTTTCTAAACCAGACAGCAGATGATAAACAGGTGTTCCATCTGACATATTAATACTACTGTAAACTAAGATGATTATCATGGAAACAAAAAATAACTAAAAGTCAACTGCAAGGTATTCATCTGCAGCAGGACTTAAAAACCTCTAATGGGAAATAATTAGCTGAGGTGCTGACAGAAGACTCCATTGTGTTTTCATTCACAATGGCACACTTTGTGTATGATCAAAATGTGGACCATTCATTCTGTGACAATTAGCCAGCTGAACTCATATGAACCTGGACTTTCAGTTGCAGCATACCAGAATCTGGTTTTGGTTACAGTACGTATACATACAACTGTTAAAACCTGCTGTTTGCCCGTGGGCTTACCTTGAGAGGCTTGGTGACTTAATAGAACACAGAGTGTTACAGTATGGAATAAATACACGCAAAACTTTTAGCCTTTCAATGAAGATGCAGGTTGGGCGGTGATAATTGACATGACTCAACTGTAAACTATGTTGGGTTTTGGAACATCAAAAGCTAGCTGGACGAACATGTTTGGGTTTTGAGGATCCTACTGTATAAGGTGCCACAACAAAACCCAGTAGTATTATGTTTAATTTAACTTTCAATACTCCCAGTTAAGAACAATTGGTGACTTTAAATTAATACTCAACTGGTTCCTGCAAACTGGATGGTTTTGGTTTTAGAGTACGGATGCAGATCTTGCTACAATTTATATTTCATTGTTCTTTTAAATACTTCTTTATATTTCATTTATTTATACAATTACAGCTGAGTTTCCGATTGTGTTAGAATTAGTACAGCTTACAATAGAGAGAATTTATCTATAGAGAATCGGAGGGATGAAACAAATACAAATATATATACAAATATACAGTCTATGGATGAAACCCTCTTTAATGGTCACACATGCAGAGCACACAGCACACACAGTGAAATGTGTTCTCTGCATTTAACCCATCCTAGTACCAGGAGTCTAGTACTAGGAGCAGTGGGCAGCTATTGTACAGCGCCCGGGGAGCAATGGGAGTGAGGGGGTGGGGGTGAAGCCCAGGAGGTGAACTAGGACCTCTCCAAGTACCAGTCCACACTCCATATTTTAAGTCTGTTTGGGGACTTGAACTGGCGACCCTACAGCTCCCAGTCCAATCCCCTACTGAGCCACTGCCGGACAATGTCAGTAAACCAGCTATTCATTTTACAATAATCAGTCATTTAAGGATTGGACCTGATGCAACATTTAAATATGTGCACCTGCAGCCCATTTCCACTGAACTTCAGGATATCTAACATGAATTCGCCATTCCTGTGTTTCTCCAATCTCGCGACTCATTGGCTATGTGTCTGATGACTTAAGTCCACTGCCTCAGGGGCTATATTTGTGGGGTTCTGGTTACTATCCCTTTAGCAACTTTCGACGCAAAAATCTATTTGGTGTTGAGAGATTCCATCGTATAACACTGGAGTGTTTCACAAAAAGCTACTTTACATACTGATAAAAAGCGAATGTATCAACAGACGATAGCTGATGTGGTCTTGGATTGCCATATGGCCAATAAGTCCTGCCTCTTTTGGTTAATTATAGACTAATATGGAAACTACAGTGTTTCCGATATCAAAATCTAGAATGGTTTACAGATTCTGCATTTATATATAATCTCTGCTGGCTTAAGAAAAAACGTTATGTCAGAAGATCTTACCTAACTTAAAGTATCGGATACTTTCAGCCGGTAATGCTAATATCTCAGGTTCACGTAAACTTCAAAAGAATAAGAAAGAACAATATCAGCACGACATAAAACAATGATACTGGTTGTAATTAAGTAGGTTTAAAATCCATGAAAAGGACTAAAGCCTGCCAAACAATGAATGTTATTTTAACAGTTTGTGAGGGGCTGTCTGCTTTTGTTATCTGGTATAATTAAACCTGTGAACTTCACTAGACTGCAGTCAAACTTTTGCATTGTTTGGCTCGCCTGTCTATGCGACAACAGACTCCTCAGTCGCTTTAACACCATCTGATGGAATTAAAATGAAAATGAGCACTGTGTTTATGTGGATTTATTCATAATGTGCACGTAGGTCAGGAGAATGAATGATTGCGGAATCTTTGATCAGAGTAATTGATACGACAGCTTGGCGTGCAGATAAAGGAAGCTGTTAACACCGTTTTATCTGTGGTGTAACTCTACTCAGATGAACCTGAGGTTTGTGGCGGGACCATTCAGTATGTCACTTCATTGTCTGCAGCCTCGCCAGTGGATATACCTCAACCCTGGATATTACAAGATACTTATCAGCCTCGTCTCGCAGAGCGGAAAGCAAATGGAGTCATCCAGACAAAGACTGTTTCTCTCTCTATCTCTGAGAATCCTAATTGTCTGGTTTTCTCATGTATTAACAAGTGTTACCGCTTTTCATCCACAATCGTCCACTCCTAACACTCACTCGCTCTTTGTTTCCTAGTATCGCTCCGATCTAGAAGCTAACCTGCTTTGGCTCTGCCTCTGTTGATCTTTTGGCAAAGAACAGTCCTCATATTTGGTTTAGAGATAAATACGAATGATGATTATGTTATAACTTGATTGCATCATGTTAGACGACAGTTCTTGAATAAAACTCCAAACTTGACTTACGAGGCTCTGTTATTGGCCTATCAATGGTTTCTGTCAACAATTCAATCGCTTCACTCTTACTCTCATTGGCTTCACATCACAGATCTCCATGTGGGACTAGTCTGCTGCTTGTCCATTGATGAGAAGTTTGCTTAAATAAAAAATATGTTCTTTTGCCTCTGGGATTTAGTCTAGAAAGGGTCTGCTACCCTAAACTGTGTTAAGGTTCGGAGTTTGTTAGGCTCCGCTTCACAAACTTGGTGTCTGGTGTCACATTGACTAGAGCTCAAACAGCAACTCGATCAACAGAACATGAATCTGCAAACATCAGACGGTCCACGTCAAAGTTACGATCGATTTTGAAGCAAAAATGTTGGTTAAATTATTAAGGCTTTTCTCTTAGGATTTTAGACTCTTTAGATGTAGATATAGATTTTGACCAGACAAATATTTGGAAGATTTTATCTTAGGCTCTGGGAAACTGTTATGGGCATTTTACAGTAAATAGTAAGTTGCTTGGGACTGCGCTCAATTACGTCGTGTCATTATGTCACAAGTTGCGTTCAATGCATCTCGCAATGATTGGTCATTTTAAGAATATTTGTGTTTTCGAGCCATTCATATCTTAAGATAGGGAGCAGGTCCTCTTCACTGATTCTGCCATGTTTCTATAGTAACTCAGAAAGGACAAACCAAACAATGGCTCTATAGAGGGCTTTTTGCGTATTGCGCTACTTAAAGGTCACTGGTGGATTATTTTAAACTGACTGAATGGTTTTGGTAAATATCCCCTTTCTCAATGGACCAAGCCAACTGATGTTAGCATCTTGCTTATGTATGTTTGAACAGGAAATATCTAGGCCTCCTGTAAAATTATGGACCCACAGTGGCAACATTTACCAGAAGAAAACATCAGTGATCTTAATCCAATACTGTCTGACGATGTCAAACTAGACATGTTAACAGCTTTATATTTGCCCCTAGCTTGCTGAAACTCGGAGATGAGTGCTTTGAACCTGCATCCTGCCCTTGCCTGTGGAAAGGAAAGGAGTATTACCCCGGTGACAAAGTGTCCTCCCCTTGCCATCAGTGGTAAGTTCATGCCACATATAAACTCAGACCAAGCTTTTATGTAAAACTTGGTCTTGTGATTCCACATGATCTTTTCCTTTCTTCCGTTGGCCTTCATCCATTTTGTCAGGGTATACAAATGTGTATTATCTCCACCAATCATCCGATTGGTAATATCTGTCAGAATGAAGACATATCGCCAACAACTCTGCAAATTTTTCAAAGTCAGATTTGGCCTGACTCCTGAGATCGTCAGAGCAGCAAAAATGGCCACCTGATATCCATAATTTTCTGCTATCACAGATCAGAAAGAGCCTTGAAAACAGAGCGGGCCCTTGTATGACTCTTTGATTCCCTCTGCCTCAGACTGTTCATCGCCAGTGAAAGGAAACACTCTCCCAGTGATCTCAGTCATTCTCCCATCTTCCCATTTTCTCCTTCAAGCCATAGCCAGGGAAGAAGATTTAGATGACAGCCTAATAGCGCAATGAGCAAGTGATTCAGCCTTTGACAATTCACCGGCCACTTTTCTGCTTGCTGTAAACCTTAGGTGCTCGACAAAAGGAGGCCATTAGAAGTGAAAAAAATGTCCCCTCACTAAGTGGGAACAAGTTGATGCTGAATCACTGAAGCTTTGCTGTCTTTGTAGTGTTTGCCAGCACGGGACGTTCCAGTGTGTGTTTCATCCGTGTCCATCCATGTGCATGGCCTACGGTGACCGCCACTACAGGACGTTTGACGGACTGCTGTTTGACTACGTTGGTGCATGCAAGGTCTATCTTGTAAAGGTATTGAAATAATTTATCTATACTAAGGGAAACAAAAGTGTGTTTTTTAAATAATTAGATCCATTAGCTTTCTTTCTGTACACTTAAGGTGTTTAGTTTTCAATTTCAGGTTGCTTTTAGGTTAGGGTTTTATCAGTTCTAATAAAAACTGATTTTGACCGTGTCCAAACGCAACAAAAGTTGACCACTGCATTTTTCAGAAAATATCTTCTTGTGAGAATGGCAGCTCAAGAAAATTCTTCAGATAACAAATTGAATAGATACCTTAAGACAAAAAAAACCTGTTTCTCCCCTCAAAAGTATATTTTTTTGTCCAAATGTTGACCCCATCATATATATATTTATAAGTATAAACACATCATCTTAGGTTTAGTGTCAGGAGATTTTTTATTTTCTGTGATTATGTTTCCTCTCGTCCACAGAGCAGTGCTGATGTGATGCTCAGTGTGACAGCCGAGAACGTCGACTGCTTCGACAGCGGAGTCATCTGCAGGAAGTCTCTGCTGATCAACATCGGCAGATCTGTCGTAGTATTCGATGATGACTCTGGAAAGCCAGTAAGAGTCACTTCCAATATATTTTTCATATATATTAATGACATAGGTGGCCAGAAGCACATTTGCTGCATGAAAAGAAGCATCAATTCTAAAATACAGAATATGTGCAACTGGTTTTATTGTCTCACCGTTAAGTAGCAAAGCAAGTCATTGTCACTGGATGATTATATTTAAGTCAACTCTAGAATAGTATTCAAGAACATTTCAGTAAAATGTACGTCCCATTTTTTGCAGAATCCATCTAGTGTGATTGACAGGAAGCAGAGGATGTTCATCTGGCCAGCCGGGTACTTCACTGTGGTTCATTTCCCAGAGGAAGAAGTCACCGTCCTCTGGGACCGAAAGACCAGCATCCACATCCAAGTCGGACCTCGCTGGCAGGTAGGACGCTGTTTCAGTGATTTCTTTCTAACAAAAGGGTCACTAAAAGCTAAAACATTAACCAATATGTGTTTTATCCATATTCAAACTACAATCAGTCAGCTTTCTGCCTCCCCCAGTACTCCCTGAAGAATATAAATATTCTCTCTGTTCTGTACAATCTGACCATATCGACTATTTTAAGAGGATATAATGTTTACGGAATTAGATATTTGAAAAGAGATGTTGGTGATGTGTTCAGGGAAAGCTGAGTGGGCTGTGTGGGAACTTTGACATGAAGACAGCGAACGAAATGCGGACACCCGACAACATCGACTCCTCGACTTCACAGGAGTTTGGAAACAGCTGGACTGCAGCAGAGGTGAGTGAAACGTGCTGTATCATCAAACATTTGTCACACTTGATTAAATGTATCAATTTATGTGCACAAACCTACAAATACCACTAGACCAGAGTATTCAGCAGCATTAAATTGAACTAAGGACATTACTTCAAGTATATGAGGACACATACAAGGTGCTTGTATTTGTGTATTTCCAATTTATGCATCTTAATACTTCTACTCCACTAAATATTGTCTTTTTTCCACTACTGCTTTCCTGATTGTACTCCTAAGCCTCTAATAAAAAGTTGTGATTTATCACCTCTGCGTGTGTTTTTGTGTTCAGTGTGTAAACAGTCCAGATATCAGACACCCCTGCAGCCTCAGTCCGCTCAGAGAGCCCTTTGCAAAGCGGCAGTGTGGCGTCCTGCTCAGTGAGGTCTTCATGGCCTGCCACCCGGTGGTGAGTAACAGCACAACAAGCCCTCTGTCCCATTTTGAGTTTCCCAAATAAATCCCAAATAAGTACAATCTTTATTCTGGACCATTATTTCATTCGTCCTGCTCATCCCTTTGTAGGGATTTCTAAATTAACAATTTATTTTATTTCCAATAAATTACTGAAAGGTGTTCGTTCTTGTTTATGTCCAGGTGGATGTAACCTGGTTCTACATGAACTGCCTGGCTGACACGTGTGCCTGCAGTCGTGGAGGAGACTGCGAATGTTTCTGCACCAGCGTGGCAGCGTACGCCCAGCGCTGCTGCCACCAGGGCGTCCCTGTCGACTGGCGCTCACCGTCTCTTTGCCGTAAGTCAGAACGCAAGGAGGCAAAAACCTGATCTGTTCCAGGAGTTCATTTCAATCTGAAACGGTTTCCTACAACAATAATAACCCCTATTTTTAGTAATAATCATTAACTTCTTTATTATTTCCTATATGCATCACTACATTTGGTTCTTATTTGTCTTGATTATGGAGCACTTTGTCGGCGCTATTACTATCATTAATTTTGTGCTTCTTTTCACAGCGTATGATTGTGAATTCTACAACAAAGGTACGGCAATCTTTCAACTGATCTAAAAGCCATTGAATCAACACACACACACAAATCATTTATATAAACAATACAATTTACGGTAGTTTCTTTCTTGTTTGAAGTTAATATCCAGCTGGATGTATTTTTGCTTCCGCTCCAGAGAGAAACTGGTTGATTTTGAAGGCAAAAATAGATTTGATGGGAGAGGTTACTTTCCTGCTTGATTTTCATTTGATAAAGAAGTGATCAATACAATGGTATTTGTCTTGAACCCCTAAAAAAATACATAAAACATTAAGCCGAGTAGTATGGTTTACAGCATGTGTAGCTTTTGTGATATATTATACAGGCTTTGTTTAATATGAGCAATACTACTTTGTAACAGAGATACATTAACATGGCCTCCTGTCTTCAGTTCTGGGTAAAGGGCCCTACAGGCTGATCACCTTCAGGGACAGGACCACGCTGCTGGCAGCCAGCAGGACCAGCGGCTCTCTGTTCCTGCAGAAGGGCAGCCTCAGCACCTTCACCCCCACCCCTGGAGTCCTCTCACAGTTCATGATGACGCCGGGCCTCAGCAGAGCCCGACCACATGGTGAGTTACCTCTATTCACTCTGCACGGTTACAATTCATTTACAAAGCAGGATTCACTTCACTGGTCGAACTGACTTAGTAATTCTCTCTTTTTTCAGCGGTCAGAACTCACAGCTATTTATCTAGTTATCTGAGAATAAGATAATGCAAATAAGCGCACAAAGAACACTTCTAAAAGATTTATTTAAATGCAGACTAAGTTCTCTATGAGAGCATCGAAGCATCCTGAAAAAAACCCTGTAGTAAAGATGTATTGCCATAGCAATCAAATAAAAAAACGTTAAAAAATTCACAAGACTCAAGACCTACTGTGGAAACTCTGAGCACTGTTTTTATCTTTAAAGAGCATTCTGCACATTTCCCAATATTAAGGAGTGATATCTTTAAAAAAAATCCTTGCTTTTGGAATTGCTTCTCACACTATATTTTGATATTCACAATATTTTTTCTTCTTGATCTTACAAGAACACCTACAACTGAAAGAAATACTTGATGAATCTGATGATGGAAAATGTCAATTTATAACAAGAGCCTTTTATGGGAATTAACTTTAATAACACCTTTAAACGACAAAACATGTCCTTTAATTGTTACCTCTGTCCAAGCCCGGTTAGTTCATTGGCAGTCACTGCTAACACTACTTACTTTACTACACCTGGACCTAAGTGGTGAATGAAAACCTATTGACCTGGTTTCAATTTGATAACAATGTTAATCATACGTTTTTAAAATGTCATCTTTACACTGGATTTCTGATCAGCAGTCGTAAACATCCAATCACGCCATCTGTCCTTCATAATCTGTGATCTGAGAGTTACAAAGAGCCTCTGATCCAGCCAGCCGGCGTTCTCGTCTTCCATTGTTTCCTCTGTGTTAAACTGTGTTTTGGATGATTTGAGCGCCTCAGTGAAAACACTGATGGAGAAGATGGACTTGCATTGACTTCCTTTGGCAGAAGGGCTCTGAAATCAGATTGCCAAATGCTAATATGGCAACATGAGCTGCAGGCTGGTCAGAAAGCCAAGACTGGAACAAGCTGGACTCGAGAGTACGCTGCAATGCTGCTGTAATCTGGCTCAGACACCCATTTATATACAGTTTATCAACAATAAAGCTTTTGTTGTGTTCTGTGAGTTACTAGAAGAGGACTCATAGAAATGCGTTTAAATTCTGCTTTTGCACTGGAATGTTAAATTCACTGTTTAAATTGTATTATTTAATACATTTCACTACAAATAAAAAGGTGTTTTGTATCTTTTTCTGCAGCTGCTTCCCCCTTTTGCAGCTGCACAATAAATAGGAAAATAAGGATTTTAACAGATTCTTCTTCTGCAAACAAAATGTATTCAGACTAAGCCACTTTCAGTTAGAGAAAAAGAATGATGAAGTTTTGAAGGAATGTTGTGTCGATGGCTCCCGATTTACAAACAATATGTTTTGCTTCTATCTCCCAGACACATCTCGGGTTTCCTTTGAGGCATCAGACCGACCCAACTACTTCCTGTACGCGAGCCCTAGCGGCCAGGTGAAGCTGGCCAAGTGGGAGGACAGCGAAGCATTCTGGGACGGAGCCACCTTCGTGCTCCACAGGAACACCTGGATCCCCGGCTACGACTCGCTGGAGTCCCACGCTAAACCCGGCTTCTTCCTGCATGCCACTCCTGCCCGCCTCCACCTGCTCAAGTACAGACACATCGACAGCTTCCGCAAGGCCACGCTGTTCAGACTCACAGGTCAGCAGCACTGACATGACCAATGTTCAGCAAACACTACACACCAACACTCAACAGAAGTGTCAGAGCTACAGATTCTGCAACTACACTGGAAGTACCAATGTGCTTAATTTAGTGCAAAACAATTGTACCAACTGATTTAAATCCATACAGAGTATGGAGCCAGAAAAAACAACAACATGTATGGTGCATAACGTTTGTTGAGTGCACTCCAATGCATGTCTACAGCCGGAATCTCCATTGTGGCACAATTTATCAAAAATATATTTCATGTTAATTAACATACATTTTGACAAGTGACAAAAATCCTTTCAAAGTTTCCTTAAATGTGCGAACAAATATTAATATTTTGGGAAATTAATTGATAGCTATTCTATTCACATAGACCCCTGTCAAATGACTGTATCCCCAGGATGCTGAAACCATTTAAGGGTTAAGATATTTGTCTCAAGTCATATTTATCCTATACAGAAAGCATACCTGCAAGAATACATCTCAGGGCTTTTTTCATTTGTCAAGGTAATGAGCTTCCTTTCCAACACACTGTTCGTAAACTTTGATGTTGACCTGACAATAGTTGGAGACACAGATAGTAGATGGCATGATGAGGTTTTAGTGATATTTTTAAACCTCAGTGTTCAGGAAGCTTTGCTCAGGGTTCAGCTGGCCATCAGGGTTCAAAGGTCAAGACTACTGCATAGCAGCCTAGGCTAATAACTGATGCTAAAAATACAGCAGCATTTGTGTTAGTTAATGGAAATGGCCTCCGAGCCAATAGCAGATTGGATTTCCTGCTGACGACAGTGAATGCCGAACACATTCAGAGCCAGGGATGAAGTCCAGCCTTCAGACAGACGGACAGAAATTGCTTTCTAAGTTCATCACATTACTGGTCTGGGAAAACATTTAAGGATAATTTTTATCCAGGCTAGATTAGAAACTTCTTATAAAAGATTCCCTGCAGACTGAGGTGTCATCAGGGTGATTGTATCTTGTATTAACACTGTATAAGAAGTTTAATCAAGACTTTAAATTATATTTTAACACTTTTTCAGCAACCTAGTTTCATTAATGCTATGCATTGTTGCAAAGCATTGTTCAAAAACCCTGAACTTTATTTAAAATGTAATTTATGTTCCAAATGTTCAAAAGATACTAAGTTTGTCATGTGTATGACATGATGATACATCGAATATTTAATTTCAATTAATGTAATGCAACCATTAAAACCATGTGAATGCCCATTTAAGGGTTAACAGGGCCTTTGAGAAACAACAGTCTTGTGACACTGATGTTTGTTGTATTTTGTTTTTCATTAGGCCCCAGCCCGGATGCCCCCCCTGGTCCTCGGTGTCAGTGGAGGTATGATTCCTGCGTCATCCCCTGCTTCAAGACCTGCAGTGACCCGTCAGCTGAAGCCTGCGCCAGCATCCCACAGTGAGACCTTTGACCTTTTCCATAACTCAACTCATCTCAAACTGTTGGTACATACTCTCTACTGGATTTAGATATCTAATGTCATCCACCTGTGATCTGATGGAGCTTATTTTACCAATAAGCTTTAAATGTTGTATTTATTTTAAGTGTGTAATAAGAATAATTCCCCTCCACATCTTAATTTTGTCTATTACTATTCTTTTTTTAATGGCTTTTCCTTGTTGCTCTGTGTACAGAGTGGAAGGCTGCCTTCCTGTCTGCCCCCCACACATGGTATTGGATGAGATCACCCGTCGGTGTGTCTATGTTGAAGACTGTGAGTATCCACTGATTGATTTCAGTGGTGTATTGCATGTGAAAAGTTTCAGATTTTTAAGTAAAACAGGATGTTGTGTTGTTAGATTGTTGTGGCAGGGTTACAGTGTTTGAAAGTAGGAGGCATTTAAATACAAAACTGTGACAGTTATTGGTTGGGTATAAACTGTGTCTCTGTCAATCTCACTGCTTCTCTAACACACATTTTATTGTTTGGGTTCAGGCATTAAGGTTCCAGTTACTGTGCAGCCTGTAACGCCATCCACTGCTCCACTGACCTCCGCAGCTGTTCCTTCTGAAACCACCAGAGGCATTGCTCCCTCCACCACCCACCTCCAGACCACCACCATCCACCTCCAGTCCACCACCATCGCCACTACATCCTCTACCCCTCAACACACTGGTCCTACCACTAAAATGACCACAACTAGTCCTGTTGATGGCACACAGACGATCTTGTCACAGGCACCACCCGCCCCTGGCGAGCCCATCCTTCCTGTAGCTGTCTCAACTTCGGCAGCTGCTGAACTTGCTATAACAGCAGGACCTCCAACGCCCCCAACTGTCAGGCCAGATGTGGAGGAGCCACTGTCTACTGTTAAAGTGACTGAAGCCTCGTCCACCACTGTAGCAGGTACAACAGCATGGACAACTGGAGCTGTGAGGTCCACTACCAGCCCCTTCAGCCCCAGTACGTCCAAAACGAGCAGCGCTCCTTTTGCCATCACGGCTCTCTTCTGGGTCACCTCCACTACCAAGCCCTCCGACCTCCCGAAGACACTCTTCACAACCACTGCCACAACCCTGCAACCACCTACCCCTGCAGCACAGATCACAAGCTCCATTGTACAGCCAACCACCATAAGTAACCCTCCTCCCATTGCCTTGCAACCAACCAAAGCAACCACGGAGGCTACAACACATTCAGCAGCAGTTGCTCCGATATTAACCGCGTCTAGTCCAAGGCCCGCAGTAGTGTCAGAGATGTCTACAGTAACAGACAGGACTACTGTACCCAGTACTACTACCACTGCATACACAGAAACTAGCACAAAGACTGTAACAGTGGAACGACTACCCTCAACAACAACTAGACCCATCGCTCCTGGTTTACCAAGCACAGCCTCCACAACCTACTCCCCTCTGCCAACCTGGCATTCTGTCGAAACAGGAACTGTATCGTTGCCAAAAGTCACTTCAACCAGAACCACAGAATCAGTCACACCAGTTGCACCTTTCGCCACTAGTAAAACAACACTGTACGAAAGTCCAGAGACAACATCAGCAACTTCTATCACAGAGAAGATTCCGTCCAGCACTCCTGCTGAACTCAAAACCTCTACAACAATTGTTCCTGAGTTACCAATGTCAACCCCTATCCAGGTTGTTCAGACCACATCTGCACCATCTGCTCCTACCTCAAACTGGGGAACATCGACAAAGCAAGTGTCCACACTTGAATCTACTGTGAGTGAAATACCTTTAGCTACGACAACAGTTTCTGCCCCTCCCCCTTTGAAGATTACCACAACTTCTCCAGTGCCCACCACCAAAACCTATGCTGAGAGAACCTCCTGGTCTACTGCTGTCCCAACAGAAGAAACAACTAAGACCACAACTTCAAGCCCCCCAGATGTTCCAGAAGCAACCACAGTGTCCAGAGGTCCTACTGCCACAATAAAATCAACTATACCGCCGGTGTCTCCTACACAAACCACTGCTGTACCACTTTTGCCAACCACTGAGAGCTCCTCCTCTCCTGCGTCTACCATGCGGACCTCTGAGCCGTGGGTCCCACCCCAATGGGAGACCTTCTCCACCCCATTCTACAGCCCTACAGTGAAGTCAACGCCAGTGGTCACTACTTTCATTCATGAAGTTACTTCTACGAAAACTACTTCAGTGCCTCAGATTCCTGTGACATCAAATCAGGTTGAAACCTCTGTAACATCAGCTGCTGCCCTAGCCCCGACCACCAAAACTACAACGTCGCCTGAAATCTCAACTTCAGAAATTGCAGCCACTACAACGAGGAAACTGGCCACACCCTCACATTCACCTGCACCTGGTAGTCCTGAGACACTTCTCACCACCATCTCTACAAGAGCTCCACCAGGTATTGTGACCACGACGCTCAGACCTGTAATTGTGCAACCTATTACAGAGACGACACTTACAGTGACTGGCAGGGTGGAAGTGTCAACAAGATCTACAACGACACCACCTCCATCTTGGTCTCCCCTGCACACAAGGACTACTTCTGCCGCAGTTCCAAGGCCAACCACTTTCCAGGAGAAAGTCACCACCCGATTGGTGTCAACTGCTAAAGCTACACCAGCTACAACAACTACCACCATTGCAAAGACGACCACTTTAAGAACAACACCTCGAGTTACACCCAGAATCACGTCGATTGAGAGGTCAACCACCAGGCCAGCCACAGCAAGGGTCACAATAACAACAAGTGTACCAGAAGTACCTTCCATATGGACCACTCTTGGCCCATCAACTGTCAAACCAAGCCCTGGCGCAATGACCACGCCAAGAGAACCATTTATAACTGTTCCAACAACTGCAGAGTCCGTGGCCCCAACGAGCAAGACAGAACTTGCTGAAACAACCCCAGCAGTTCCCATCTTGCCCACCTTACCCGTTCCAGCCCCTTCTCCTACTCTGACAGCGGTCACCTCTACAGCCGCTCCAACGACCACTAACCAAGAGACAACCAGCTCTGAGAAAACCATGACAACCAAAGAGAAGGAAGTTTCAGCATCCACATCCAAATCGGTGACGCCTCCACATGATACACACCTGATCTTCACCCAGACACCCGGTATTCACACACCATCAACTTCTTCACATCCAGAAGCAACCTCGGTCCAAGCTACTGAGCAGGACAAAGTCAATCGTACAAGTCCAGGTGCAACCACGCCTTCTGCACTGACTTTACCTCACACGACGATGGAAACAACCAGACACACAGTAGAGTCGACAACGTCTTTGGCTGTATCACCAACAAGGAGTTGTATTGTAGGTTGACATTATACATCTTTATTTTAGACATTTCAAAATAAGAGCACCAACTGCAGCTTAAATTACAGTAGATGACACATAATTGTAGCCAATTCCTCTTGCTGAAACAGGCCATGGTATTACAAGTTTCAGAAAAAAAAAGCGTATGAGTTTATGATATTTTCCCAGATATGTATCCAATAAAGTTTAGGTCAATTGTCTGTTAAGTCGCTCCTTACCTTACGATGTACTCAATTAGTGATTAGTTATTTTTATTTTCTGCTTACAAACATCTCTGTTTTTACATTTTTCTTTTGCGACTTCTGGATTTTTACTTTTTGACTTCCTGCCTTTCAGCCTCCGTATGCAGAGATAGTGGATGAATGCACAAAGTACATCTGCGTTAACAACCAGCTTGTCCTGTTCAACAAATCGCAAAGCTGCCCCTTCACCTCTGAACCTCCGAACTGTGGACTGCTTGGCTTTGCCATACTGGTCAATGGAGACAAATGCTGCCCAAAGTGGGACTGTCCATGTGAGGAAAACAAACACACATCCAATGACAGTACATGTCCTAGTTTTGACATTTCTCCAAACCAGTGTTCATTCATTGATGTCTCTCCTGTGTTCTCTAGGTCGCTGCTCGATGTTTCCAGATCTGAATGTTATCACATTTGATGGGAACAGCGTTGCCATCTACAAGGCTGCCTCATACATAGTGACCCAGTTGCCCAATGAGACCGTCAGCATACTGGTTCAGGAGTGCCCTGTTGATTCAGAGTCAAACGTGAGTCAATATCTGACTTAGCAGGTTCCCGTAAAGTGATTTTAAATTGAAGTGACTTAATTGATTGTCTTCCATTTTGACCTGGTTTTCTTTCCAAAGCTTCTTTGGAATTTCACCAACCTCTGTTTGGTGGCACTCAACATCACGCACAAATCCAACCACATCATAATCAACAGGTTGCAGAGGAGGGTAAGAGTCACCCTTTTCTTGATTATTACTTTGTATATTAACTTTCACATACGCTTAATATTGATTTCTAAAACGAATAAGACTATTTGATATCACATGCACTCTTCCAGCTCTACGTCAACTCTCGCTACGCCAAGCCTCGATTCAAAAAGTTTGGCTTTGAGATATACGACACAGGGAACATGTACCTGATCCGCAGCCCATCTGGTCTCAAGCTGCAGTGGTACCACAGCACGGGCATGATGGTGATCGACACAGACAGCTCCAGCAACAAGCTTCAAACGATGGGCCTCTGTGGTAAGAGTAGTTGTACTCTGCAAACAATTTTCATTATACAAAATACTGTACGTTTCTCTTTAAACACCTGTGTGATGTGCTGCTCACAGTTTCTCCTTAAACGAGTGATCACAAACAAAGAACAAAACAATTACATCTGGAAGCAAAATCCACATAAAGTCTATGCTCAGGCATTCATATATTATGACTGAATCTTTGGTATTTCTTTCAACCCTCTCTCGCATCCAATCCAGGTTTCTGTGATGGAGACCCAACAAATGACCTGATGATGGCCAACGGCACCACTGTGGGCGCAAGCGAGGATCCGGCTATTTTCATCGATAGTTGGCAGGTTCCCAACACCACCAGCTACATCAGCCGCAGCCGCAGCCGCGAGCTCAACTGCTCCACCAGCAACTGCTCCGGCTGCATGCACATGCTGCAGAGCGACGCCTTCTCCCCATGCCACGCCTTCGTATGTTAATCTGTAAACCTTTTTTCAGGTTCCTCTCCTCACACAAGAGCCATTGTTAGCTTGAAACTTAGACAGTCTGCTGTTAAAGATTTATTTTTGGACACAAAAAATTACTAAATGAATAACTACAAGTTACAAAAATCCTAATGTATTTAATTTATCAGCCTTAATCTTAACATAATAAGCATTATCTATGTGTGTGTTTTATTGTGTCCAGGTCCCTCCAAGCACATTTTGTGAGGTTTGGGTACGAGATGCAGAGTACGTCAACAACCAGTGTGTTGCACTGGCTGCCTACGTGGCTTCTTGCCACAAATTCAACATCTGCATTGAATGGAGGACTCCAGATTACTGCCGTAAGATTTCTTCCTTTAACAGAGCCTTAAAATAATGTGACTCTGACAATGAGCCATCCAAATATTGCTGGTAAAACATCTGGTTAAATATCATTCACAATAAAAAAAATTGATTTGATCTGTTGGCAATGTTCATGTTATCATAGTTATTAGTACCTGGAGTTTTGGTGACACCTTTTAATTAATGCTACACAATCATTGTGACCAAAATAATACACTTTTGTGATATTATATTAATATCTATAGAAAAATGTAATAAAAAAGGTTATCATTCATTTTGTCTAATATGGTCTCCAACCATAATTGGAAAAAGGTGCAATTCAAGAGTCACTTGATAATTTACACAATCCTATCATGTTTTTTTTTTACATAAATACTTAAATGTTTAAATATGACTGATATCATTAACACCATTATATATGAAACTCCTAATTCTAAAGTAGTGATGCGTTTAAGGGACTGACATAGTTGTTGTGTGTCATCCTGCAGCATTTATGTGTCCCGACATTCTGCGGTATCAGGCCTGTCTGCCGGCCTGCACCTCTCAGTCCTGCCCCAACCATGACTTTGACGCGGACCCGGATCAGTGTTCAGGCCTGACTGAAGGCTGCGTGTGCCCCGTGGGAACGCTCCTCCACCGGCCGTACTCTGCCATCTGCATCTCACATGAGAAGTGTGGTAAGACACACTCTCCACTCCCTGTAGGGGAGAGAAAGAGATCTTGAACTCGAGGCAAATTACTAAGGCATGAGATTGTTAAGAGAACTTGTCATTATCTTTTTAGACAGTGCTTTTTTGTACACTCTTGAAATGACAAACCATAAACTAAAAATAATGGTGTGTGTGTGTGTGTGTGTGTGTGTGTGTGTGTGTGTGTGTGTGTGTGTGTGTGTGTGTGTGTGTGTGTGTGTGTGTGGGTGTGGGTGTGTGTGTGTGTGCAGCCTGCACTGACAGTTCTGGATTTCCTCGTGCAAACGGTGAGGTGTGGAAAGCCTCCAAAGATGCATGCTGCATGTATCGCTGCGACAACGACACCATCGTTCCCGTGGAGTACAACTGCTCCAACATGCTGTCCCTGGTGTGCCGTCGGGCAGGGGAGGTGATCATCAGCCTGGCCGACGAAACCAGTTGCTGCCCGCAGAAAGTCTGTGGTGAGGCCACCAGAGTTCCTGCACCCTGATTTAAAATCTTCTAGAGAACAGCATCAAATCAAAGGCTCATTGCATGTGTTTTTTTGTTTACAGTGTGTAACCAGAGCTTGTGTGACCTGCTCCCTCCTGAGTGTAAATACGGAGAGAAGGTGGTGTCGTACTACAGACAGGACTCCTGCTGTCCGGACTTCATCTGTGGTGAGTCTCCTCGCCGATCAGTAAAGTGATGGCTTTATATTTGTTGTCAAACGGATGAGCTGTGTCAGATGTGATGTTCTCCATCTTCGATGTACGGAAGCTCTGAGAGGAAAGTGAAGAAATCAAAAATTCTGGTGACCCATTTTCTTTGTCTTACTTAAAGTGAAAAAAGACATCTTATCTACTGTGTTATTGACTTGAGGGTTAGGGTAAGATTTTTTAAATCTGTTAAAACAGGTGGGTGAAAAAGTTTGGCAGGTGATTCTTCTTTTTTTTTCATCAGAATATTTTTCTCTTGTGTTGTAATGCTGATTTGTGCCACAAGAGGCTGAAGTGCACCACTATCAAACACACCCATGTTTTTTTCTAGGTAATTTTCCATTGTGTGTTAGCAAGTTATGTAACTTTACTGTCATGTCATCCTTTTGTCTACCAAACATAAATGGTTTTATTTCAAGCAGGGGGAGTGGTGCACTTCCTCCTCATGTGTCCAAAATGAGAAATACAACAACAAAATAATAAATAACCTTTCTCAGCTCTTTAAAAGTGCAATGAATTGTTAGATTAAATTAAAAAAAAAGATGTCTATTTGTTTTGTTTTTACCTGTTGATTTCAGGAGCTTTAGAGATGTTTTAACCTTTGGACAGTGCCAGGCTAGCTGTTTCCCACCATTTCGACTCTTAATGTTAACCTTAACTAATCGTCACTGGTTTAATCTTGAATGTACGGATATGGGAACAGTCAAATTTGTATATAATTCTGGACAAGAAAGCGAATAAGGATATTTCCTTAAATATATATTTCCTATTACTTTGATATTTTATTTTTTGCAGAGTGTGATCCTGAACTCTGTGAGTCGGAGGTTCCCTCGTGCAGAGAGGACCAGACGCTGATCGCCACCAGAGCCGACGGCAGCTGCTGCCTTGCTTACATCTGCAGTCAGTACAGAAATGAACTGCCATCTTCTGTTTCTTATTTTATGATGAGGGTAACTTTAGCAGGTTAGCTTGAAGCCATCAGTGTGATGAATGATGTGTGTGTTTCATGCAGTATGTTCTTCCTGCTCGGAGATGCCTCCTCTCTGCCATGACGGCGAGGTGCTGACAGTGGACGCTAACGCCACGGACCGATGCTGCCCCGCCTACCAATGTGGTCAGGGAACAAACACACACTTTGTCATTTTTGTGTTACCTTTTTCTATTTCTACATGTACAGGGTGGACATTTCAACATTTAAAAAAATAAATAAGATGAGGATTTCTGTTAAAAATCTCATATTTGGTTCATAAGTTTGGAGCCAGAGTAAGGGTTATATTTGCTTTGCTGTTTTGGTGCATAACAATAAAGATAGTGAAAGCAAATAAAAGATAATGCTTCACAGGAAGCTAAATACAATATAATAGTTACAAATACAAATATATAAAAATATATAAACACAATGTATCAATGCGACAGCTTTACAATGCGACAGCTGTACAGTTTTGCAAAGACATGCTAAAAATAGACCAGGGAATGTGCAAACATTTGAGAGAATATGTGCAGTGACATTATAATCCAAAAGGTGTTGGTAAAGGCACAGTTGGAAACTTTAATAAAAGGTGCCAACTGAACCTTGTATGTAATGAATTGTGATGAAAAAGAGACTTTACATTAATGTAGCGTGTAATGTGAATTGGGCGTGATGAGAGTTAGTGTCAGGGTTCTCTCTATTGAATACAGCATGCTATGAATTTATAAATGACTTGCATATTTTAGCTTTGTGTGTATGTGTGCAGTGTGTGAGCCCCACAGGTGCCCTCAGCTCAGTTGTCCTGTTGGGATGTCGGTGGTGTCTGTGTCCAGTCCGAGTCGCTGCTGTCCTAACCAAACATGCGGTAAGACTATTAAAAACCTCCCACAGAAAAAATTGCCACCTACATTTTAAATAGTTTTGATTTGACCTTGACTTGGGAAATTGTATATGACAGTGTAGAATTTGGTTTAAAGCTGTACAGTCTGAAATGTGAAGATGATGACCTGTGACACTTTTTATTTTCAGAGTGCTCCTGCGATAAGATGACCTCGCCAAAATGTGGCCTGGTAAGTCATGACTTATTTATTAAGTGTGTTTGGACATGTAATGATGTATATTATATACTGTACTATCTATTTATAACTTTATTTACAGTTTGTGTTCTCACGTACTCTCGTATTTGTTGTGCCATTTCTGAAGTAATTTCTGTTCACCTGTGTCCTTGGTTCCATGTGTGTTATACTCTATGTGAACCCAGTTTGGTCACTTTGTGTTCTGCAGGGAGAGGCCGCCCAACTGGACCGGGCCTTCCTATCTGACCCACAGAACCGGTGCGCCTGCAAAAGATACAAGTGTGGTAAGAACAGCAAATTCAAATGATAGACAATCAAAAATATAGCTAATTTTTCCAAAAGCAAGGAAATGTATTGCAATTTAGAAATGTTAAAAGCACTAAAATAATTAATAGTAAAGTACAAAAAGTAAAAAATGTTTTTATTATTGATTATATTAATTGACAGTTTGCCATCTAACATTAAAGACATTGACCGCTGACCTTTGCCATTATTGTGTGTGTGTTCAGTGCGAGAGGCGGTGTGTGTGTTTGGGGAGCGTGGCGTCCTAAGACCGGGTCAGACTCTGGTGGATCACCAGGACGACGGCCTGTGTCACAGCAGGACATGCAGCCGGAGCCTGGACCCGGCGAGCGGCTTCCATCTGCTGCGCTCCAGCAGCCTCAACTGCACTGCCCACTGCCAGCCAGTAGGAACACAATCACAAACAACAAACCTACAGTACACACATACAAAGTACATACGAAGGAATAAAGATTTGTAATAGAATTTACATAACAAATATTTTTAAATAAAAACATTTTTCATATCATTCACTGAAAGGGACAAACACGTCGGCATAACCAACATCTGTGAATCTGGACAGCGGCACTCATTACAGTGGGAGAGAAACACACATACTCACATATCTATATGTAAATAAACACATATCTTCATATACAGTATATTCTCTTATTTTCTTGCTGATTTTCTTTTTTTTTACTTTTCTTTTCATTGTTTCACAAAACGTTGTGTTCTTCAGAATCAGATCTACGTTCCTCCAAAGGACCAGACGACGTGCTGCGGTGTTTGTAAGAATATTTCCTGCATCTACGCACACGAGAACGGCACAACAGTTCTCTATAAGGTAGGAAGTCGACTATTATACAATAATTGTATATTAACAATAAACACTACTTCTGAGTATTTTCTTAAATAATCTGTTATTTAAACCAAGTAACTGAACCAACGTGAGTTCTGTACAAAGGACATCTTGGGAACATTTTTACCAGGTCTACTTAATAGCTTTCTTCTGGAGCTTTCAATCGAGTCACAGTCTTGATCAGCAGGTAGTTTCATCAGTCATTATATCGAGACCCAAGACAAGTGCTGAACAGTATGTGACCACATGTAATACCCTGTACTGTTTAAAACAGGGAATCTCTATGATAACTGTGCAAACTATCTGCTGATAAAACCATAATGTTTTTGAAAGACAATGGTGTATCTTTCAATTTAAAATGAACATTACCACCATTTGTTTTGAACGATGATCTTGTCTCAACAGGTCTTACACAATCCTGAAACGCGGTCTCATTCCTTAGTCGAAGTCACGTTATCTATTATTATTAGTAGTATTTATACTGTACACCTAAGGTAATGTTGTTGATGCTATCGGTGTGTTTTCAGCCAGGGAAGTCCTGGGTATCAAACTGCATGAAGTTCGACTGCACAGATACTCTGTCTGGACCCACGCTGATCTCCTATTCCTTCAGCTGCCCACCTTTCAACGAAACAGAGTGTATGAAGGTCAGCTTGAGGCATCATACACATATACACGAAAGAATGACTGTGATATTAACATAAAACTGGCAAAACTATATTTTTTACATATTTATTGTGCAATGGGGTAATAAGGAGGGACGAAGAGTGAACGTTCACAGGTCCTTTCAGGCATGCGGGGAGTGAGTGGTAGAGAAACTCCCTCTGGAGGTAACTTTGGGATTTTAGCCTTTGCAGACCATTTACATGCACAAACATATATTATTTTCATTTCCCTTTATTTGTTCCGATCAAGGCAGATAATTCATACAACATCTGTACACTTAGCGCAGTTTGGACCATGATGTAAAGGAAGAGTGAGAGGTAACTCTTATGCCTGCTCTTTACTAACACACGATATAACAGGAAAACTCAAAAAAGCACAATTGGGCCCTTAACTTAAGCAGGTTTTTGTAGTGTAACTTGAAAATTGGGTGGGAACCACTGTTCTTAAAATGTTTTCAGGTGATAAATACACAACACCTCAAATTAGAGTCATCAATGATTTCAGTCAAAGAATATCAACTTTCAAACAACAAACTCTGATAAAAAGGCATAAGGTTTCTCACAGAAAAAACGTTTTGTCAAATTATTCCTTAACATGTTTACTCTCATCTGCACTCAGATCGGTGGAACGGTCATAAGTTACATGGACGGATGCTGCAAAACATGTGAGTATCTGATCTGAGCATAGCAGCAGTTGTGTAGTTAGTGTAGAGCTGTAGGCTGCAGCTGACACTGAAGAGCGCCTCCACCTGCCGCTCAACATGTTTCCAACATGTTTGCCCTTCAGTTTGTCCATTTCATTCCAGAATATTCAATCACAGTTTCTGAATTGAATCCTAGCTGTAACATTTTGTCTGCTGTTTATTCAGGTTAGTCAATGTCAGTGTGCTTTTCAGTGATTTCGGAAAAAATGGCAATGGATATCTTTTTCAAAGTGCCAAAAGATAGATGTATGAGTCACTGAAAAACATCTGATCAAATGCAAGTGGGTTTGTGGTTTATGTGCTGCAGCTTACCCTCATGTAACAATCCCACCAGGTACTGGATTCTCTCTGTTCCCTTTCCCCGTTAGCCCCCTGACTCCCACAGTTAACAAAAACTGTGAACGAGGTACCAAAAAAACAAGGCTTGTCAGTGCCATTGTTGATATTCAACAATGTACTCCCTCCAAAAAAAAAGACATTATGATAAAACACACAGGAAGTCTGACTGCAACCTACCAGAAGCGTCCTCTCAACTGCTGTCTCATTTCAGGGTCTGGGTGAAACAAAAATCTGTAGAATAAAGCCAAAACAGGGTAACAACATGAAAAAAATATATGTTTAAATCAATCATGGTGCAAATGTTGCATTAACCTTGCTTCATGAAGCAGTTACATTCTCAGTATTTTTAGGGATTTACCTTTTTAAAATCTTAAAACAAAGGAATTAAAGGTGATTTATCACCTCAAAAAGGAGGCGAGGACACAATCCTTCATATGGGCCAAAAATGATGGCACACTTGAGAGGACAGTCACAATTAATTATTTACCACCGTCCATCCCTGTGGATCACGTACATGTACGAGAGCTAAACTCTTTCCCAATTTAGCACTGTCTGGGCAGTGCATTGTTGATTGCCAACAATGTACTGTTGGTAGTGGCCCAGTAGTCGGGCTTAGACGTCTGCATGTGTGAGTAGATACTGATGTGGGTTGGTGACGGGGCCTGTGTTTCATGTAACCGCTGTAGAAGATCTGCTAGCTGCTGCACCACGGCTGCTGTGCTGCTCCGCCACCAGGGGGCGCTGTGTGGTAAACTGAAGCTGCTATGTGATGCATCCTTATTGTCAAAGTATCATCAGTGCAAACACTGAAACAAACAATCGACTGTATATTTAACAACGCTAACTTATTCCCCTTATTCTTCGCTGGCTCTAGGCATTTCCACATCACCATATAATGTGTTGATACTTGCGCTTAAAGTATATTTGCTATTACTTTGCATAGTGTTGGAGATTTGGAAGATGTTTAAAACCAACCTCGTCTCCGCGTGTCGTTTGGTAAGCTGGGTAAATTCGTAAAAAGGAAGGGATTAAGAAACACCAGAATACAAGTGGAACAATAATCTTGTTTTAATGATACAAAGTAACAATACAAATACATCATCGAATCACGAAGCACTCTGCAGAGTACTCCGGGCTCAGGTTCTACCACGTGTGAGACAGGTCTCAGGAACGGCCGGTCAAAAACAAGAGCGCCAACCAAAGGAAAACACAGGCTTTCATACTAAAACACAGGAGGAGGTGTGTGCGTGCTTTCCCCCAGAGGTCATCTTATTGGGAGAGACCAACACATGGCCTGTCGCACCCAATCAGTGCGACACAGCAGAAGAAACCCGGAAACCAAAAGTCTCTTTTAGTTTGACGAAAACCAGACACCTCTTGGTGTCCGGTACGAACCTGATCTGCAACACAACTCGTGAAACTATACACTGACAAACAAACGAAGTCACTTGGTTACAAGTTACCGGCGGTGGCGAGTCCTCGTCATAAAGTCGTTGACACACTACGGTAACGGCCTATAGCCAGGACGGTGACGTTCGTGGGCAAACAACCTAATGTGCCTGCGTCGCGGTAGTGTAGCCGTCACTCTTTTTTGGATCGACCACCGTGAACAAGTTTCTTTTGACCGTCCATTCCTCCCAACCTCCTCGATGGAACGAGGACGTGACGTTAATAGGAGTCGTCCGGGAAACGTCGTTTACGAAGCTGGTCAATCTGTTAACTGACGAAGCAAACACTTTACGTAGTATAGGTATATTCTAGGTCCACCGAATTGCGGTGGCGGGTCAAGGCACGGAAGAAACGAGCTCCTTAACTAAGGTGGCTTATACTCCTACACGAGATGAAGGTGTCTGGCCATGCAGGACCGAGGTCGTCTGCCCTTTTGCAGAACTTACATGCCAAAAACTCAAGGCTCTAGTCATTGCTTGCGATAAGTACGACCTCTTTTTCCACCCTTACCGACAAGGGCTGACTCACTAGGGTTTACCGAGTCCCTGATCGAAAAGAACAAACGTAGTGCGTTCCTTCCGACTTACGAGACTTAAGCTTCAACGTCCGGGGTCCGGCGTAACAATACGTTCGTTATACTGTTACAGTCTCGTATAGAAATGGTTTTTGACTACAATACCTTCGGGTCAGGGAGTCTTTTTGGAGACGGAAAGGGCGTACGTTTCCGAGAGTACCTGTCCGTTCGTAAGTCACCACTCTTCTATAACTACGGTAACACTTCAATAGTCCTCCTCTAAGCTAGTCGCCAACGCTCTGAAGTCTGTGTGTCTCGGTGAAAGTTACAAACCGTTAGGGAAAGGAAACTACACCTTTTACGGGGGACCGAGCACGAGTTACCTGCAGTTGGCTGACGTCACGTTAAGACTCGAGTTTCGGTCAAGTCCCTACCACTTACCCTTTCGCTGTCGCGAACCTGTCAAGTCTCTCTTACGGGGGGAGAAGGGACTCTAAATGTCCTACAATAGCCGGTACACGAAAACCCCTCGTGTAATAACACCTGTCGAGTAGAGGGTGGTACTTGTGAAGTTTATCAGTTTGTTCATGGTCCAGGTCTGAGGATAGTACGGTGGGGAAGGTTCGGTATGACTACTAAAGTTTGACGAGGAAGGGAGTTTGGTTTAACACCGAGTCGACACGACTCTCGTTCGCGAACCGGTGGCCAGGAAGGGTGCGTTCCGCCTCATCCGTTCTGTATCTCGTTGAACGAGGTAAATCGAATACAAGCACTTCTTTTCGTCAAGTACATTTCTACTACAAACTTCTGACAATACAACATAAAAAATTATTTACAAAACGCTTTTATAGAACTTCGCCGGGTCCTGAACGGGATCTGAAGGAATGCAAGGTCGCTCGGGGGTACCATTTAACCAGACTCTGGGGACGGCAATACTCCACCTTGCACAGCTTGTGTGCTGAATCTCTTTGTGTGGTCTACTTTTTTAGTACTGGGTGTAAAAAAAAAAGGAGTATGAATGGCTTGCCTGTTGTGAGAACGTATTTCGTGGCCCGTGTCGTCATGGGAACTACATAAAGTGCTTGATCACCCCCCTTGGATAAGCACGTGGTACGTTACACACAACCTCGTATGTCAGAATCTCTTTTAGGACTACCACTGGCTCGGTGAGAACTAAGTAGTTTGTAAGCTTTACGAAAGACGAGCGACGCCTGTTCTTCGGTTTGTATGAGTGCAGTGCTCCTAGTTGGAGGTTTTTGGGAAGAGCTACGGTTCTTGCTTACACGATAAGGATGTACTAACTTTTGACCGTCTATTGCTAGTGCTACATTTGACTTGTTGTCGTTACTCACCCTTCACTACACACACACACACACACACCCACACACACACACACACACACACAACACACACACACACACACACACACACTACACTATCACACACACACACACACACACACACACACATCACACACACACACACACGAGCAAACACACACACACACACACACACACACACAACACACACACTCTGCTGCTCTGCTCTCTCTCCTCCCTCTCTCTCTCCCACTAAATTTTATCGGTTACGAAAATGTTATATTTGTAACTTACCAAATTAACTTATACCTTCCCAATTGCAAATCACCGTCCACACACACTCTCTCCTTATTTATTTCTGCGGGTTCATATTTTTTTAATAAGAATAAGAAAAAGCGTTGAAAGGCGTATAAAGCGTGAAGGGCGTTAAAAGTCGTATATTTCTAGTAAATTATTAGGAACGTACAAATTAACAGTATTAGTTCCTAAAACGGACGTATTAGTTCTTTGCCACCAATTAATATTTCCCCAAGTAGAGAAGAGGAAGAAGAAGAACGAAAAAGGAAGAAGAAGAAGAAGAAGAAGAAGAAGAAAAGTTTTCGAATTTTTGACAAATAAACGGTCATAACCGACTATATTCTACCGATAACTCACAATAAACTTATAAACTTCAAATTCATTGCACATACCGTCCCTTCAAATTAGACCGATATAAGTAAAAAGTACAGTGAATATATCATAAAGGTACACAAAATTTAAACTGTCCTGTCATATAAGAGGAGGGATTTATAATAACTCCACTCGTCAGAAACACAATCTCGTCCTACCCTCGTCCACTGTAGGGATACACCCCCGCTATACGAGGTTCGTGAGACTTACCAAAGGAGTATTTATCTATCGTCCACACGCAATGTAGTAACGAACCCCTAATATACAACACAAAGTACGTCATTTTAATACACGATGTACTAATGACAAGTATGAATATGGAGACAAGAATAAAAGTACACACGACCATGAAATTTACCATGTGTTGTAACACGCTCTATTAACCGAGATATTGTACAAAATAATGAGATGTGGTTTCCTTCGCGAAAAGTACTGTCTCCTGCTCTCCCGACCACCCTCCCCTGTAAGAAGGTTTCTAAAAGTCGTAACAGTAAAGTCCCCTTTAAGACAAACAGTTATCGCACGGACACCCCAACTAAGAAACATAATTATTCATATGTAATACACATTTCCTTCGACCACTTCATATTGACACTTGGAAAATAAAACTTCTCATTTCTACAACAAATAGTTATCGAGTTCTGTTACCTTCCCGACATCCTGTTTACTACCCGACACAAGAGATATAATCCGGATCACACTTCAAACCTGATAACCTTTTTCGTAGAGATTATGACGAATTCTCGTATCCATTTACACAAGAAGCAAAATAATATACTTTCACCTAAATGTACATATGCATATAAATTCGTTGATATTGTTGATAAGAATTTTGTAATGAAAATTGTATACAACCATTGGACTCACCCCCTCCCCTACCTGAGTCCCTGTTCCGATTCGCCCTACCACACCGCACGACATATC